GGCGAACTTTTCACATCCTTTAATCTTGAGTCTCTCGCGACTAGCACTTATTGACTTATATTTTATCTAAGGAATAAAAAGTAGCGTGTGGAAATACCCTCTTTAGCATTTCCTTGTAATCTTGGAAAGGTTATCGTGCGGTAAATGCCTTGAATTAACGCATTGTCGCATTAAATTACGTAAATTCGCAATTACAGAAGTATGGGACGAATAAATTGATATAATAGTGACGAAAACATTCCTCTGAGGGTAATAATACGAAAAAATTTTAAACAGAAAAATAGCCCGGTTTTCAAAAGATTAAAGCAATAAAATTAAAATACGTTTTTGGTTATTTAAATGCAATTTCGTAGTGACTTAATCAAATCCGAGGCTCGTTTTATGGTGACTTCTGATTAGTCGATGATTCTTTTTTGCAAGCGTGGGTGGATATTTTTATGACAAATGTGTCTTATTCCCTTTAGCTCTACAGTCAATGATTATACACATAGTTAAGCAAATAAATTGTTCAATAAATGAAGCAAACATGGAGCTGAACCTTTCATTACAAAATGACTTTTTTTCTTTTTTTAATCTCAGCCGTGCCGGACATTCCATTGATAACTAACTGCTAGAGAGTGTGAAAATATCGAAAGCGTGCATCTTTTCTTCTTTTTTTTTTATCAGAATATTCAAAATAAGTCTACGAGTTTAAATTTGCCTTAGGCATTTCTGATGGCTTTGTTGTCGTTTATTCAATCAGACAACCGGTAGCAGAAAACGACTGAATTCACTATCTGTCAGAATTTTCCTGTGAATAAGCATATTTCGAGTTAACTTCCTAAACGAAGCGGCTTTATGGTATACATATGATACGCCGATAATATCGAAGTAATAAAGAAACTGGGACTTACCAACAGTGTTGCAAGCAACGAGGGCAGTAAACACCAACAACAGGCCCTATGTATGCAACAAAAAAGAAGTTAGAAGAACTGTAGCTATATATGTCTCCACAGCCAATGAACTCTAACTGTTCTTAAACCAGAATCAACGCACACCTGGACCACTAAAGAAATCGCTCCACAGAACGCCTGCATTTTTAAAGCGTAAATTCTCCGTCAGTGTGTTTTTAAATGATACTGCTTTTATACCACTGCTTTGAGCGGCGCAATTTTGCCAATCTGAGATCTGCTCAACGGGAAAAATGTAGAGTTTGCTTTGAGTACGGTCCCACCGCGAATTACGTGCATCTTGACTAGGAGAATACTAATTGTCGTGATTGCATATTTCTTTATATATTATAAATATTGACCAATGACATAGCCGTTCAAGTTACGGAACTTAGACAGGTGTATCAGTTTTGATGACTGGAAATTAATTACCGCTCTTCGGACAACATCTAATCTATCCAAAGTAAATATTAATCAGTGCGAGACGGATGGCAAATAATTTGCCCACTAGACTTCGTTACCTTGTAAGTTCCTAGTAAATCTTCCAGCGCAAATTATTGATACGGGTTTCGAACTTTATCCCCAAGGGGTTAACTTCCCGCTTAGATAACTGGGGTATAACGTTAAAACGCAGGATTGGAATTAATCGAAGTTATTTCGAACTTTACTGAGGCAAAGACATAGCAACCAACCGTGTATTGTATCAGCCTAAACAAGTGACACGAAACGAGGCATTTGTACGGTTTAGTTTGTCTGTTAAAGTGGCTTCAGCTGGACTGCAATAAAGCCTCAAAAATGCTGATGTTTACTTAAAGAAGTTATCAATACGTATGTATACAATTGCAAACAGTGCCCTTCCTCTCAAGTTGCGTGAGTATGGCATTTCATTAGTGTTGCGACGAAGCAAGCCTTTCGGTGGACAAAACATACAGATCTCATAAATGCGGTCAAACACAATTAAGTTTCGTACGTTAATTTTCCAATAAATCCCTTGAATAACCATTGAGTTCCTTCTCTCCTGGGACGGAAAACAAGTGGTGAAAACTGCGAAAAAGCCGCAGAAAAGTCCAATAGTGCACCAGTTTTAATTCCGTACTTATACACTGGAGCTTGTATGCACCTTTAAGTAGTTCTACATGGCACACATCCAATATATTTACATTTCATTAACCGCTACTCTCCGAAATTATGACTTATTCAGAAGTGGTTAAGTTGCAATTCCCAAGGCCTTCTTAACTTATAATAGTTCGACGGAAGGAAAAGTTTTAAAAAAGCATGATTTCGGGAAGGAAAAATCTAAAATTGGCATTTGGCAAAGGTAAAAGAAACGAACATGTTCGTCAAGGAACAATATTGTTCGGGCTGTTTAAATAGTCTAAAGGGTCCTTTTATTCATGGATGCATTCTTTGGCATATTGCCTTGTTAAGAATAGCACGTACATAGGAAGAAAAGAGGTTTGTTGATGCAGTGGGGATGTTCATCCTGAATTCTGTCAATTAAGAATACTTTACTTTACAGTAGCACTTTAATAGTTGATGTGCTGCAGATGCCCTCGAAGTGCTATTTGTAGTTATATCTATGTAAAAGGTCTATGTGAAAATTCCCGCTTGTTATTAAAAATTTAGGTGTTATTGCAGCTGTGTGCAACGGTGCACTAAATGTCCCCATTTAAGTCTCTTGCATTAAATAATGCATTTTTCGACTTTGCTGTTCCAATGCGGAGATTAATGTATTGGCTTTCCTTTTTTCTTTCGCAACCACAAAAAATTTTACAGCTCCGCACAATTTTACAAACTATTTTCCCCAGTTGCAAAAAACTGACAAAAAAGACAATTCATTTTCTGATAAGTGATAAATATACCTTTTCTTAAATGTGTATTCAAAGTGATGACTCATCTAATATAAAATTAAAATAGTGTTTAGAGAAGGCGACATGTAACCCATTCATATCTCTCTCAAGTGTGACAGTGTTTACTTCTATACTCATTACTTTTCTACATCATAGTCAACAATGCTTTATTGGTGTAATTTGTTAGCAAATTTATGTATGTGTAATGCATTTTCAGGACACAACGGGTGGTGGAAGTCGTGGGGTCTGTTGAGAGGCTCGTCTTTCCTTTTTCAGGGCCTCGACCCTTCCTTCTTTTACTCATCTTTCAGAACAACCATGTTTTTTTTTTTTTCATGCTCAGCCTTCTCTACAGGCAACTCTTTCCTCTTTTATATTCACCTTGGCATTCGTTTACCAGCAACCGTTGCCTCTTACTCTACCTTCAATCTTTGTTTACATGATTTTTAAAATTTCCTTATTTTTAGCCTGAGGCCTGATTCTCGAAACAATTACTTTTTTCAGGTTTGGAGCTTTTAATAATAATCGCAAAAGTAATTATACGGACAGAAAAGCCATCTCAATTGAATATTAAGTAAACTTGATTCGTCTCTAGCAGAATATTTCATTGCGTAATCTGGAATAACTTTTTGCGCACACATGGCTTCTTGTCTCGGCGCCCCGGAAAAACCGACAAGTCACCACGGGGCGCCATCGCGTTTCGTATCTCACATTTATTTTTGAATGAGTTTGACAAGAGTAAAAGTTTGATTATTTTTTTGCATTCATCTTCAAGCGCCGGCATTATTGAATAGTATTTAAAACAGCGAAGCGCGCGCCTTCTAAAAATAGTGTTATGGTTATGGTCAAAAAATTTAAAAATGGAAAATTATCTAATGAGGCATCAGTCCAGAATGTGCCTTTGTAGCCAGTTATGCACAGCTTGGCCGGTTTCCCTTCTTGGACTTGCTTTGTTGTTATTAGAAATGAAAGGTTTTGTTGAATGGGTTTAAGCTTATGAGCTATGACCACGCTTGTACGTGTAAGAGGCAATTTTAGTGGAACGCCATGTTTATGCTCAGTTTGTGAGTTTCTACTTCCATGGTTTTTACTATTTGAACGGTATTTTTGTGAGCAGCCCTTCTGGTTTTGTTCGGTTGATTCTTGAAAGAAATCAGTACTAAAAATCGCAGGTGTTACCATAGTAGAGGATAATTCTTATTTCCATTCATCTTTGGAACGTGCGCCAGTACATCTTTACACTGTTCACAACTATTTATAAACGAGGTTTTTTTCAAAAGTGGAGTAGTTGTGCCAGAAGTTGTTGTACTAGTAGCAGTCGATAGCAGAGACGCAACAATAAACGCTTTTTGTTTGGTTCCTGTCAGTCGTTGCTGCTGGTCCAGGCGAGTCGTGGCCGGCCGACAACAGATTACACTAATTACATATTTTTGATATTTCAGCTTCTATCGGTTCCCAATCATCAAAAAATGATTGACGTTGTTAAAACTCAGTTTTACGAATTCGAAGTCATCATGAGGAGGCGATAGTCAATGAATGTGTACTTCACTTACCAGGGGAAAAAGGTCCATCTGAAACTTTCCCGATAACTGCGTCCGAAGCGGTTAAAAGCACCGAGATTGGAAAGCAAGTGAACAAAATTAGACGCCTTCGAAGTCTTAATTCTTTTCGACCACAGGCAGCCCAAGCGTACTATGTGAGAAATAACCCAAACAGCTTCAGTAGCTTACTACATTTTATAATCTTTGCATTATCACTCGCAGTTTGGTCATTTTCGCCTAGGGGACTTTGAAATACTTACGTGCACCGTAGTTATGGTGATGTCAACTTATTTAAAAAAAACAAAGCATCGGGAAAAAACATCACCCACGATCTCGGCAGTAAATGAATGGCTACAATAAAAGGTCATAAAAACCTTCCTTACCTTTATCCCATGGAGGCCTTCCAGCCAGTTTCAATGCAGTTTCGTCGAGTTCCTTTCCCTTGAGTTCTGCATAGCCTTTTTCTGTTTTCCTGAAGGCTGGAACACGTCGAATTCTTTTACGTTTCCCCCTGCGCCCGTTTGCAGGGCGTCCTGATTGTTTGTTTACATTGCTTGGGGTTTAATGACGTCACTCCCGCGATCCCGCGCTTTTCATGCTTGGTTCCAGTTCTCAACGTTCGCGGTCATTCAATATGGCGGCATGTTGACACGTAACTTGCCGGTTTGTTCGGTTTACCTATCTTAGATCGAAGGTTCTGTGTGGAATACAAACTGTTTGAGGACATCTCTGCTGTAGAAGGAAAAGTTGTGCTGAAATTCGATCTTGGTGAGAATACAGAGCACGTTATAAAAAATATTATCTTGCGTCACAAACAACCTACTACACCAGGCGGCTGCACTGATCAGCGATGGATACAGAAATCAGCGAGTGTCCGAATTCATGCTGTGAATTAACTGACTGACTGCTTACCAAAGTGGCAACACCTACAACTATGTCAGCTGATAAGGGAGCGGTAATGTTGGATCGAAAATACTTTTATACCTCAGATGATTTTACATGGCATTGCATGGTAAGCGATGAAGAACAAAATGAACACGTCTTTACCCAGGTAAAAGTATATTTCTGATTTCGAGGAATATAAGCTTACGTTAATGTTTGTTGAAGTGTGCGAGAATTGGCAAGATCTGTTGGCTAAGTTTAATACAATAACATCGAAGAGTTGTTGCCTCATGAACGCTCAAACCCATCTACATCTAGCCATATGGCTAAATTCGAGATTTCTTGGATTTCTTATTTAAAGAAAAAACAACTTATAAAATAAAACGTTTTATTACGTAAACACCAATGAAATACCAGGTGAGCTTTCGCGCGAAAACTTGATATCTTCACATGTGAAAATAACATGTTATCTTCACATGTGAAAATATCACCTTTGCTATGGCTACATAATAAATCACACCTTTCACACCAAAAAACTATTAAAGTGAAATGGTTTGGTATTTCATTGGTGTTTATATAATGAATAGAGCATTTCATGGCCGCTTGGAGATACGAAATTTCTCTTCTTGTGTTGAAAAAATATTCCACTAGTTCACTGCGCTCACTCGTGAAATATTTTTCAACACTCAAAGAGAAATTTCGTATCTCTGCGCTGCCATGTGCATGTCATATCCTCTATTTTTTAAATTGAGAGATTCCGAGCAATCTCAAATTTAGAGTGTTGCATTTGGAGAAGGAGACTCATGTGGGGAGACAAATCAGTCCCCGGGGACTCCCAGTTTTAAACAATAACTTTTTCTTGTCCTCAAAATTTGGGGACATCTAATGGCAAACTGCCAAAATCAATGTTTAAAAATAATAATTCTCTTCATTTCCTTGAAGCATAAATAATCCAAAAAAGAACCAAGCAGTCCCACTACTACTCTCCTATATCAATCATCCAGAGCTTGGCTAATTATAATGGTTTCACTGTCTTATAGGAGGATTTCCAATATGTTTTTTGGGATGTGGGATTGGCTTTATTTGAAGGGCAGAATTCAGGTATTTAATGAAAAATGGGGACAAGATTCTGGTTAGAAACTATGCGGAGTTGCCGAAAATAAGCTTCAGGATTACGGATTGCACAAAAATTTAATTGGGAATGATAAGATTGAGGAACCCTATTGGGGACCCTCATGTAGTCATTGTGGTCACACAATTGATTGAACTGGTCACCTGAGCTACATTTGTGGAGGCTGGCACCAACCCCCCTCTTTCTGACACAGGCACTGATACACTACATGTACATTTCTTTATGATTATAATTTATCAATCCACAGGTTTTTTTTCCAGTTGCCAGGTTTTTGGGCCTTTTCTAAAAACTGCAAGTTGGTTTTTCAGTTCATGCTGCAGGTTAGGCCCCTAAACCCAGATTAAAAATCATTGAATGGGAACAGAAAGTCAAGCCTGTAAAAATCCTCTGAATGAAAATTACCCTTCTCCCTTAGAAAAGGCTTGAGAATGAGCTTCATTTAACAATAAATATTTTCAAGAAGTTTATCTTAGCTTGAAACACTGTTTTGTTTTATTAATTTAAGTTTGATAAGGAAATTCGGCAGAGGTGGAATGCTGCTGTGGATGCCAGTTGCTTTGCATATAAGCTGGACCATGTGGAAGGGAGAGTTGTTCCGGGCAAATATCAAATTTATATTCAGGTACAGTATGATTGTAGTTGATGGGTGAGGGGGTTGAGGAACAAGGGAGAAGGAGAAAGGACATACGTCACATCCATGTATGTATAGGTAAAAAGGCAAAGGTGCACACAAGCCAAAGGCCCAAACAGCCGAAGGTTATCTTAGTTCCTTAGCATGAAGCATTCCTAGGAGTATTGCTACTCCCCCCTGGACAAGATGCTACATGTAGTCCATAGCAGGGTTACCCCCAGCAGTATGTTGCCGGTACCCATTTATACACTTGGGTAAAGAGAGGTCCAAGGTGGGGTAAAGTTTGTTGTCTATGGAAACCTCACGATGGGCGAGGCTTGAAGCGCGGACCTGCAGTTTGGGAGTTAGAGGTGTTAACTGCTCGGCAACACACACTTCCACACATATATAAAGGGATAACATTAGAAGTCATGTATATGCCAAGCAGGAGAGAAAGTAGCACTTAAAGTAGTTTTGCTAACTCGTAGTTAAGAGTCAATTTTCATTACTGGCTGAAAAGTTTAGGCAACTCCAGTTTGTCAAGGAAGGTCAACTTTCGTGTGATGAGTATGTGTACAAATTATGTAATGATGCTAGCATTCTTATTTTGAGTTTGCAGTCTGTTCATGATGTCTGACTTGATACATGTCACATTACTGTTTAGAAGAACTTAAAAATTTTCTTAACACCCTTGGGAGGTTTTCTGGAGCCATGAAAATCTTCAGTACTTTTTGTCATGAGACGTGTTTCGTGCCTTTAACTAGGGAAAAGTTAGCAGACATAGTCTGTTATCACAAGAAAAAATTTGTGAGACCGGATAGTAGGATATTGAAGGCAGAATATGCTAACCACCAGACTTTGAAGCAATTAACTGAACAATCTGCTATATGTTCAATTCACATACACACCCCATACCAGTAAATAAAAGGCTGAAATAGGGTAGCCTGATATTATGTTCTTATTCTTGAGATTAGTCTTCGTCCGGGGTTTCATAGCAAGCCAGGACTCAAGTGCTGGCACCAGTGTACTCTGAGCACAGGACCTGCCCTCAAACAAAATGGAAAAGCCTATTCTCAAACAGACTCTAACTTTCCCACCCTACTCAACCTTGGGCACCCTTGTACTTGAAAAAAAATCTTATAACAAAGAAAAATAAGAACGCGAGTCTTATTGGGATTCTTGAAACAAGTGTAAAGCTTAAAATACAGTTCAAATTAATGATATTATTTCTCTTACATAGCACAATGAAATGAGATTCAACAAGCGAAGACAGCCTCAAGTAATGAGCAGTGTGTCTCAACCTTTTAACCCAGACAAATTTAACTTCACTAAAGTAAAGAGTAAAGAGGTAATACCATAATAATAATGTTTGTTTGATAGGGTTAGTTTGACTTTTGTTGCACTCAATGACTTTTAACCGCTTACTATTGGTCTTCATCATGCTGTGGAGTTAATTTGCTGTGTGCAACTATTAGTAACACTTTGTTTGTCAGTGATTGATGTGTTTTTGACCTTGTGCATGTTGAGCTTCTTCAACCATTTTTACCAGTGTTATTTGGCCTGTAAATGTTTTAGTAGGTACCACTAATGGTTAAGAGGTGCATCATGGAAAAGGAACTGTGACAATGCAGGGGCACCCAACAACATTTTTTGTAAAAGATCTGTTCAGAGGAGAAAATGTTACCTAGAATTTATTAAAGCTTGAGAAAGGCTCTAAATTTCTGGATAACTATTCTACTTGTCTAAGATTTCTAATCCTTATCTAACTTTCCGAAGATTTTCAGAGGATGGAGTGTGTTTTCGCATTTTATCACCAAGATATTGTGATTATTGTTAAGAAAGGTCTCTTGAAAATTTTGGTTTAAAGAGAAAACGCTCCGTAGAAAATTCTAACAAAATTCTAACTTTTGACCACTGAGGTACTTCACAGTAGCTAACAATTTTGGATGAGATGACAATGTTACCCAAAACCTTCGAGATGACCAAAGTTCCCCTAAGACATCCAAAGAGATCAAATTTATCTGGGGCTGCCTAAAAACTATTTATTTGCTTTTAGGCAGCCCCGAATTAATCAAACAGGCTTCTAAAGCATAGCAAATACCACTTGATCACACTCCTGTTGTATTTGGAAACATTTGGCCATTTACCTGCATGGGTACAACACACTCGCACTTTTCTGTTATAAAGTGAAAAATGAAAAATTTTGGCTACAGGCCAAATAAAATATGACAGTCTTATAACTGTGTTTTTCACACAGGTTTTGTTTGAACTGTGTCCACATCACAGATCCCCAGGAGATGAACAAAATCTTATGATAATAAATATCAGTCCTTTGGAATATGGACATTGTTTGTTAGCTCCAGCTGTAAATAAATGCCTCCCACAGGTATGACAAATAACTTAGTTTATAATTACAGATGTCCCAGCTTGGTTATTTGTGAATCAAATGTGAAAACAGCCCACAATGATATCTTATTTTTGTGGTAAGAATGTAATGCATCAAATGTGGCTATAGTCTGTGAAAATGCCTGCAGAGGTTGAAGTAAGAACCTGGTTTTTAAAAAACCTGTTAGGCTAAAATTTGCCAGTTAGGCCCCTTCTGTATAAGAACCTGTTGTGCCTAAAATTTGAAACAGGTCCTCATTAACTTTTTTAAAAATCTATAAAAACATTCCGTTCACTTAAAAGTCAAATTTCAGCATCCTCCTTGGAGACTTTCCAGCTGGTGTCTTATCACTCCAACTGCAATGTAATGATATGCAGATTTTATAAAAGGAATAAGCTGAATTCCTCCTATAATTATACTCTTAGCTACAATGTATTTTTTCCTTCAGAGAATAAGAACCTATTTAAGAACCTAAATAGCCTAAATTTGTGTTATTTGTAAATAACATTTATGTAAGAACTTGTTTAGGTTAACTTGGGAAAATGCAGGTTCTTGCTCACAGGTTTTTAACTGTAGGCATCATAGCAAGCTAAAGAACATTTAGGTGGCAGATTAACACATAATTTATTTTCTACAACTGTAGCTTGTACACTGTAAATATCTAACATTGAAAAACAAGGTAATGGAGGGAACGATTCAAAAAGAGCATACCCACCGGTTAATATTTCGAAACTCTTCTCTCGAATTTCTAGTGTTCATACTTACAACACACGTGCCTCAACCTCTGAACATTTTTATACTAAAGAATCTCGACTCAATGTCAAACGAAATGCTTTTTCGCGTGTGGTTGAAGTAAGAACCTGGTTTTTAAAAAACCTGTTAGGCTAAAATTTGTCAGTTAGGCCCCTTCTATATAAGAACCTGTTGTGCCTAAAGTTTGAAAGAGGTCCTCATTAACTTTTTTAAAAATCTATAAAAAATTCCATTCTCTTAAAAGTCAAATTTCAGCATCCTCTTTGGAGACATTCCAGCTGGTGTTTTATCACTCCAACTGCAATGTAATGGTATGCAGATTTTGTAAAAGGAATAAGCTGAATTCCTCCTATATACTCTTAGCTACAATGTATTTTTTCCTTCAGAGAATAAGAACCTATTTAAGAACCTAAATAGCCTAAATTTGTGTTATTTGTAAATACCATTTATGTAAGAACTTGTTTAGGTTAACTTGGGAAAATGCAGGTTCTTATACTCACAGGCTTTTAACTGTAGGCATCATAGCAAGCTAAAGAACATTTAGGTGGGAGATTAAGACATATTTTACACAACTGTAGCTTGTACACTGTAAATATCTAGCATTGATAAACGAGGTAAAGTAGGGAATGATTCACAAAGAGTATACTCACCGGATCTCACAATGAGTGCTAGGTCTTTTGAAACATTTCCAGGTAAAAACTTCCCTTGTGGAATTTTGCCAAAGAAGGTAAACGTTGTTGAAAAAAAAATTGTTATGGCAAAAAAGCTATGCATACATGTACACTGAGCAAATTAGAACTTATGAGATAAAGAAAGTGGCTTTTAAGTTTAACTTTTAGTTCTTGGGCTATGATATTGGCCATGAAAAAAAAAATTAAAAACTTTGTATGATGGGAGACTTCAGAAGTAAATTGCACGACTGTAGCTTTTTAGTTGTTTTTAAAATTATAATATTATATAGCTGTAATTATTATAGATTTTATTTACAAACGTTCGTATTTTGAACGAGTTTTTTAGCTCTTTGACGTAACGTGTTAAAATAAATGATTGATTGATTGATTGAGACTAGTACTTTTGTTTCTTCGCTTAAATTTCAATGTTTTATCCCTCGTATCGGGAAAAATTGAGATTCTTGGGAATGGAAATTTTATGAAGGGTTTATTATTGCACCACTGACAGTTGTGTGTGGATATGTTATAAGGTCCTAACAGAGGAATCAATACTGTTGGCTTTGGAAACATCTCTACTCAGTAACCACTTGTGTATTTATACGCGGCCTTTCGTCCCTTAGGGTGGATTTCCACTGTCGCGTCAAACGTGCGTACCAGGTTCAACTTTTACGTTTACGCGCGACCTTTTACATGTGTACATTGCCCCCTAATTTATTTACGCACGTAAAAATTACACGGCAGTGGAAATTCATTCGTGAGTCATGATCACGTACTCCAAAGACACCTCGTACACCGTACACGTAAGCAAAAACATTACTGTTTTTGGTTTATGCTATTATTGTATTTTACGTGTATTTTACTCAAATCTCTCTTTCGTATTTGGGTCTGTGACAAGGTTGACTGTACCTGTGTATATTAAAATATGTTTTAATGAAATACTTTATGAAGTGTGTAAGCTCGTGTATAACTGATACTTAGGTAACTTATTTTTGTTAAGTACGACACCACATATTCCTAGGGGTTGTGCCAAATGGCAGTTAACTAGAATTAGCCTTTACTTGTATTCTTTTCCATGCCCGTCGTATTTTTAGAACCAAGTGTTTCCATCGGTAAGTTCCTTGGCCTCGTTATTCCGCGCGGCCAGCGTGCGGCTTATGCGTTTCGGGTCACGTGGTTCAAGCGACTTTTTGAGGCGTTTCCCGGCCGTGCGTCTCGGATACTTCACGGAAATGCATTTAAAGAGAAGGCCCGGGAAGACGCCGTACAGGGATTAGGCATTACAGTCTCCTAATAATGGACTAAAGTATGTATTGAAGAACTTTATCACTTTGTGGGAATTGACCTTCGAGCCACTCTATCAAAAGGAAAAAGCGGTGAAAATGAATTAGCTTGCGACAGTGCGTTTGGCAAATTTACCAGAGGCCGTATTGTTTAATAGTCCTGAAGAAAAGAGAAGAACAGAGAATAAAATACTGACATTGAGCTGGAAGTAAAGGCCACAAATTTGTCTGTGTCAGGGAACATCCAATGGCAAGGCTTCCTCCTTTTTTTTCGAGTTAAAGGGACAGGTTCACGGTTTAGCGCATGCTCATTAATTAAATTACTTTTTTCCAATGTATTATTAATTCTATAGGTTAATAATCCCACTCTCATGTATCTCAGCGATCTCAGAGTGTATTTTACATTAGAAGTGTGTTTCAGGGTAACCTCAAGTAGGATGGAGGAGTACTAAAATCGCAGAAAACATTAGTGGACTATGCCAACACTACCAACGTTGAATTTATTGTTGACCCGAAGGTTTTATTCCATGGTTGATTAATTTACAGCTACAGTTTGCAAATATATAAAATGATCAAGTGCAAGTGACTACCAGGGGAGTGAGCAGATTGGTTTTTTTGACAACATTATGTCATGATGATATTGCTTGCATAGACGATACAGCATGTCACAGCAGAAAAACAGCATTTTGATAAATGAGCATGCGCTGAACCGTGAACCTGTCTCTTTAAATACGTTATATTCGTTGTGAACCGAATAATCCGTGGAGAGAAATTAGCAAAAAAAAATTCATAAATTCATTATTTGTAAAAACAACTGTAGCGAGGTCTTCTGTTATCATTTGGAAAGAAATGCAAAGTATAGTGTAAGACAGGAGCCGTAATCGGCTCCTGGTGTAAGATGATAGGCAGGCCGAGTGATGTTGTCAGTGAAAGCCGTCCACAGACGTTTTCCCCTTATTCAGTGTGGATTTTTGCGAGCGAGTGCGAGGACCAGCGCGAAGTGATCAGCCGCTTTCGCCCTGGAGCGGACAATAAATCCCCCGTGGTTTTTATTTCATACGTCCGCTCCCACAGAGAGCTTTTACGAGGAAAAGTAGGCCACCCAATCCCTTGCAAGAACGCTAATTAGTTTGTGGTTTTGTGGCTTGCTCGCATGTCCTGATCTTTGCTGTGATTGGTCTTAACAAAGTGACAGTAAACATTCTTGAAATATTTCAAGTGTTCACGGTTTTCCCGGTCGCACTGTAAAAAATCCCCCAAGGTTTTTTTTTTTTTCACACAGCACGCGCGCTGGACGAGATCTAAGGAGAAGTGTATTGAGAAAAAGAGGCTCCGTGAGCACGCTATTAATAGAATTAAACTACGTCAACTTTCCTGGATTCTTGCTCCAGGCGTTTTTACGATTTTTTTAGTTTTCAAACTTTTTATTCGTTCGAGAGTTCTGTTGCCCTTTCTTCCAGATTTTCATTAGGGATCTCATCTAATTTTCGCCCTAAGTACGGAAACGCAGGACACTGCCACTTTAACGCACTTAGTTCTATCGAAGTAAGAGATGCATTTTTTAAATCCAACACAATAAACTGTTCTGATAGCTTATTTTGCGGTAGGTTTACAATTTTACTACCGTAAGCATCATTTTTTACCTATTCAGACCGGGCGTTTTTGGGCTGAGACGGGAGAGGGGGTGGGAGTTCAAAGTCTCCTCATCTATAACTTTGGAACCGCTCATGATAAGGCTGTAGAAGTCGCGCGCAACTGGTTTTTCAAACTAACAAGTAGTAAATATTCCCCTATGATATTCAGTCCTTTGTCATCTCTGTCATCTTCAACCCCGACACGATCTGAATGTGTAGATGGACTCTAAAGGAGCTTCTACTGGAAGGGCCTAAATCTTCTCAACATCGAATGTCAGACTTTTTTTCTCTTTCTTTGACTGCCAGTCTTCGATACGGAAAATAATATATAGATGACCGAAGAGTGAAAGTACATTCATGAACATTTGTACACGATCCCTTTTGGCTTAACAATCTTACCGGCCTTACAAGCTTTTTCTGAATTTGCTGATCAGCTAGAATGTTTTGAGTTAATTAGTTTAATGAATGCTATATAGTTTTCCAAGCACTCCTTTGGAAAATTTTATTGTACAGGCTTGAAATGAATGTTTCTCTTCCTCAGAGCTACTGTATCGAGGTATGGAGGTCCTCTGGATCCACTTGTTCACTTTGGGATCATAGCTTTCAACTGCAAGCTCCGGCTTTGACGATATATCATTTACACCACCCAGTACATAAAGCGTTCCGTTAACACATACCATACTACCCGAAACACGTCTAGTATTCAAGCTTGCGATAGTTTGCCATTCATTTATAGCAACATTGTACACTTCACATGCAGAAGGCGAACCTTTAACCAATCCTGTAGCGAAAATCTTCCCTTGAGATGCGACACCGAAAGGACTACTTTCTATAACTTGCATGGATGCAATTTTCTCCCATTTGCTCGTCACAGTGTCGTATCTGCCAGCTTTACTAAAATATCCACACCCAAGAACATACAGACAGTTGCCAGAGGTGACAACACATGAATAATTTCGGCTGTATCGAAGGTCAGGAGAAGATCGAACAGTTTGCCAGGCACACAATTCCTCATCATATCTTTTAATAACAGGTGAACTGCGTCGATCGGGGTGGCAGATAACATAGATTTTTCCTCCAAGGACCGCAAAGGAGCAATCATCACCGCCAGGGGAGAGCTTGATTTTAGCCCAGCTGTCAAAAGCAGGATCGTATCTTTCAGTGTCAACATAAAACACGTTAGAAAAGCTGTAGACCTGATTTCGGCATCTTATAAGCTGTGTGGTATGGTTTCGGTCTTCTGAAAATCCACCTGCCAATAGTTTCCACGTTTCTTTTTCAGGGAGGTAACAGTACGAGTGATTTCCCCCACGAACTACAATGGCGTGGGTTTCAATTCTTCTTGCCGACTGCACCAGAGTATCTTCGCTTGCAGTAATAACTAACTTTATAGCATCCACAACTTGCCTTGAACAAGAAACATTTTCTACAACAAGTTCGTTGGTCACGACATTCAGCAAATAGTCACGCGACAATGATGCCAGTCGAATGTGACGAAAGAGCCGCTCAAATTCGGCTTTTCGCTCGCTTTTGTCTTGTTCAATCCACTTTAATATGATTCTGAACACGTCTTCTTCATCTGGAACACAAATGTTTTCACTTGAAATCCACTTTTCAACCTCTTCGGCTTCCAACTTTAAAAATTCGTCAGATTCAGCTACCGAAGCGAAATTGTTGTGTATAAACTTCATGCATTTATCGACAAGTTCGTCACATCTATATTTTTGAGCGAAGCGAAGAGTTGAGATGCAATTTGTACTAGTCAGTTGTTTCTCTAGAAACCTTCCGGCCCTGGTTTTCAAACTCAGAAGAAGTAAATATTCCGCTGCGAAGATCAGTTCTTTGGCAGTTTCTTCATCTTTCACTTTAATGCTTCCAGTGTAGATGAAGTCCAAAACATCTGCCAGGATAGACTCCGAAATTTCCTCAAATCGAATGACTCCTTCTTCTTTTTCCTTCATGTCAGTCTTGAGGAGCTTCACAAAAAACGGACTTACCGCCGATAGTACATTTTTATGGGCTCTGAATTCCGTCCCTTCTTTCGCCACTAAGGTGATGTTGCACAAATAGGTTTCTCCGCGTTGCATGTTTAGTCGCCTCAGCAATTCCACAAAGAAAGAGCTCGGTTCAGCTACACGGATTGGTTCTAAATCTTCCATGTTTATCGTTTGGATTCGATTTGACAAACTGTTAAAACGCTCAGTAAGGGATAGGCACGGCCTAACACGGGAAAGAAATTCACCAAGTGGCGACTGGGCAGACTCAAGTCGGGGAACAGGGAAATGACGACGTGTAGTAAACAGTAGGCTGTCATGCGCAGTATATCTTTTGGTGTCATCATCACGCAACGCTCCTTCCCACAAAAGGAGGAACGTTTCGTGACGGACACGAAAAAAAATGGCTGCGCAGCATGCTCATTTGGGCGAATAGGATAGCCTGCCAAAGAAAGAAAAACATTGAAAAATAAACAAATGAAAATGTCAAGGCAAATAGTCGAGGACCAAGGAATTGCTACTCAAGCGACGTAACAGAATTTTAAGTAAATCCTGAAACCTATGTAGTAACTAGACAGCTCATAGTCCGAAGTTTAATTTTAGCAAAACCCTGTGTTACAAGATACTAACTATATAAATACAGTTATTAAAGTGTTTTTTTCAAATACCGACCCGTCCTTAAATTAAAACGTACAAAGCGTTTTATTATTATTATTATTATTATTAAAGTGTTATAACCGCACCCTCAGGGCGCTCTATGTCAAAACTGGCCAGTTAGACCAGTCTTTTTTGAAAATAAAATAGGCTTTTTTCGAAAGTTTCCGCCAGAAAACGGGTGCGGTCGAGCCAACCAGCTGTGATGCAATAGTCTGGGTACTACTAAAGATTTTCAATCTAAGACGAAATGCTAGATCTTTTTGTCTAGACGATTGTGTAGCCAGCCAATAAAACGTTTACTTGGGGAGTTTGGAGAGCACTCAAGAAGCTTGAGTTTCTCTCGGCATCCCAGCACCTTTCAAGTGTTCTCAATATTTCCCGCGTGCATACGTAATTCGTCATACGCACGTCACGCATGCACCAATTCTTATTGATGTAGATTTTGTCTTATAAAATTCTGACAAGGTACTGCCTTAAAGGTTTCATTTTTAATGGTCACACCCTATATTGTCCACATGACTGAAATTTAGGACTAATTACGTCTGATTTACCTGTTTTCATAATTATTAACTCTGGGAATGAAAGAGTGAGTATCTTTAATTTTCTGTAATATAGACAATGGAACCATGTCATCTTTAAACAAAACTATCTCCAATCATTATCTCATTTTTCTTCCAAACAAATGACACCTCAAGTTCAAGTCCCACTCTTGTCAAGCTAATTTGTTCCAGGTAGATTAAGACTAGCCTACAAGGCAGGCGTATTTTGTATCGCGCTTTCGTTAAAATAAAAGCGCCCACCCTCTGCAGGCTAGATAAAGACAGGAGGCTGTAATTGGTATATCATTTATGTGCTTGTTTATCTATTTATTAAAAATGTGTTTATCTGCTTTTGTTGTAGAGGATTTCATGTTGGTTTTAACAGCCTTTGTGCACATGCCTCAGTGAATCATCTTCATCTTCACACTTGGTACAGCCAGTATCCTTCTTATCTCGAGTCAGCAGTGAGTTGCCCATGTGTATTTGTAATGGACGATATGCACACACTTAGAATTTGCTCACGTGGCCCATCATAAAACTCTTACTTCATAAAAGAAAAAAAATTATCAGAATTGCCAATTGTTCTGTTAAATGTGGAGCGCCTATCTCATATATACCGTGAAACCTTTGTTACACTGTGACGTTCAGACTGTTTATAGATTTATCTTCTGCGCCAAATTTTCTCAGCCAATTGCAGCTGGAAGGATCTAGCTGAATGACCTATGAGATCAACAAAATGTCAAGCGAAGAGAGTGTAACTGAGCTGAAGAACATTGGAAGTGAGGACGAAGAGGCCTCTATCTTTACTACTGAGAAGGTTGAATGACGTATTGGATTGTGCGTACTACTGAAAAGTTGACTGACGTTTTGGATTGTGCAGATGGTTGTGAATACAGTAAATTTCACAGGAAGGGAAATGAATCTAAAAATACACAAAAACAATTCTCAACAATATGACTCTCAGTGGTCAAAGCGGGTACTGTAGTAACTTTGGGGGACGGGCTCTTGTTATAATTAACAATATTTATTAATTTTCTCGGATAAACAGGAGGTCAGTCCCATTTGTAAAGATGTTTTTGAGGTCAGGAATTATCCAACAAATGCATTTGTTTTTGAGCTGGCACCAGAAACTGACGTCTGCTCTCTGGCAAGGTACTGTATAAAAAAAATTGCTCACAAAGTTTTAGTATTATTTGAGGCTACAAGAAGGGTGTCTATGTAACAATTTGAAGTGATTTGTTTGTAACTTTCAAGAAGCTTCTGAGGTAGTTTTGGACAAAAATGTAATTCTTACGAACTACTCCTTTTAAAGGTTTGGTTGTACATTAGATCAGCTGTGTCACGAAATTCACTAAAATTCAAACAGAGGAAACTGGGTGTGAGGCAAGAGAAATTGGGATAAATTACGCAACAATGCTCAATATTTCGCAATTAAAAAAGGCCACTAAAGAGAAGAAGCTACGAAAAGAAAGGGCGGGAGCCGGAAATGCAAGGCCTTTAGGAGGCGTACCCCTTCTCCCTTTATCCTAACTAGAGCTGGTCGCTTTGGTCGCTTACGAAAGTGGTCGCAAGGATCGCCCCATATTAGCGAATCCGGATTCTGGAATCTGGGAAATTTGAACGGAATACAGTTCAAGAAATCCGGAATCCCACTAACGATTGGAGTTCAGAATCCAAGTTCCACTGACAAAGAATCCATTACCTGGAATGCGGAATCCACGGCGTGGAATCCAGCATCGAAGACTGTCTTGGGTTACCTTACAGTGTATATGGACAGACAAAAAGGGCGTTGACTGTAATTAAAAATTCGTGAAATGATTTCGGTCAGCGTTGAATCGTATAATAATCATCTGTTATACGATCTCTTTTTCCAGGAAAATACACAAGGTCACGACGTATTTCATAGAGAATGAGATAGCCCACAACTTTCACATTATGCGAGGAACGAGATGTTATTCAAACCCCCAAATAAATGGAGCTGTGTGTCAAGAAGACGCCCAGCGATATTCAGTTCTTAGAGTGTTTTTGTGGCCAAGAAACCCTGTTCATGGTAGGAGAAACCTCTCAGCTGATCACTTTTCGGTCAAGTCGCTCTAAGTTTTCTCGTTTTGGATTATTTCGCCCGTCAAAGACCTTTCTTGCGTTCCGCTCCAGTGAGCGTACACAGTAAAACCAGATTTTGGTTTGGGTGGACGATTTTCTGCAAACGACTATGTATGAGATATATCACCGGGCCTCAAGCTAGTGCCTTTGTTCACGGTAATATTGGAAAGGTCTGTTTTTGTAAAGATTTTACCTTACACGGCTTGGAAGTTATTGCCTCACCGCGTTTTTATAACGACTTTAAGTTCCTTCAAAATTAAGTGGCTACGTATAACAAAGCTACATTTCGGGTGACCGTAACTCCTGGGTTCTTACAAAATGCCTCGGGTGACTTGAGGCACTTGATTAGTTACCCTTTGATCGATTTACAGTTGCGTTTGTAACCTACATTGTTGTTTTGTTCAACAGGTGCCAAAGACTTGAGTTCCTATCAGTCTGAGAGGCGACCTATTGCTGTGTACGAGTTTGCTGGCTCTTTGGCAATCAATAGTAAGACATTTCTACCTAAACCTTCAAGGAAATAAATTCCGTAAAATGTGACTTCTTTGTTTATTCGAAACATCCATGGAAAAAAAAGGAAGACCCCATATTTTTTTCTTGGTCATTTAACACCCTCCAAAAGTTATATTTCGAGAATATACAAGGCATTTTTTTTTTTCAAGTTGGACCGTATCGTCATGAAACTCACTCCGGTTATTTTAGCCTGCAAATACATCCGTCTCCCCCCGCCAGTAGGGATGTTTCGCAAGAGAGACGTCTGCGTTTCTGAACCAAAAAGCGGTGAGGAGTGAGCTAGAGACGACTGTATTCGCAGGCTATAGTTGTCTATTTTTTTATTGAAATTGGAAACTATAATATTGAAACTGAATGGTAAAAGGAAGAGCTATTTACACGTATTTTGCTTTTTAACATCTTTCAGCAAAAGAAAAATATGATTCATTTACCGAAGAGGATTTTTGTGCCTACTTAAGTCGAGCTTCGCTAGCAGAAGAAGTGTTCATCAGACATAAGGAGGCGATACGAGAATTATTGTCCGTGAAGAATGCGACCTGATAATCAAGGATAAACGTCCGCAGTAAACAAGCAAACATGCAAACTGAGGACTGATAATTTTGAAGGAAGGCTCAATGCTTCTCGAAAAAGCTAACCTGCGTCAGGCGAAAACGGGGAGGACAGGATGGGTAAAAGAGTTTAAGGGAGACTGCATGGGTACAGAAGGGACTCAGGAGACTTCAAAACAAGAAGGTTATTAGAGGGGTTCTGGATTGTTCTTTTGTTCGATGTACCTCGTGCAGTATCGCAGTCGTATCAAGGTCGACAGTTGCCTACGTACTACACAGTAGCCTTCAAATGTATTGTAGTTCGAGCATAATGGGGACTCGGTAGTTTTTCTCGTATACCACAATAATGATTGAGTTGATCCGATAGATTGGCATGAAATTCTAGCTATTTTGGTGCTTTGTTCTTTTAATTTTAGACGCACTTGAGATTGTACACCAATAAAGAAGTTGTAAACCAAAGATCTAGAGTACTTACCATTTACATGGGAAGTCTGCAAATTTTGTTTGCAAACTACCGCCTAACTTTTGGTGCTGACACGAAAAGCTACCCAGTATAGTGTAAACACCTTTCCGATATGTGACTCTCCACTTTAGAGATACGCGCGGCCCAGCATTGCTCTGTTAAGGTTGATTTCCACTGACGCGTTTTTGGCTACGCACGTTGACGCACGTAAATTTTATTCACTTAAATAAAATAGAAGCAAGATAAAAGTGCTGAGCTTCGAAACAAGAAGTTGAGAGAGGTTCACCTTTTACGCTTACGAGCGACCTTTCATGCATTGCCTCTATTTTATTTGCGAACGNATGCAAACACAGGAAAAAAGTTTTCTATTGCTTTTATAAAATAACTTTCCCGAGAAAAAAACGCAAAACTCTTTGTAAGGCACTGATTAAAAGAGAAATTCTTACCAGTCGCAAAATCTTGTCCACGAAGTCTTGCACGCGTAATCAGTTCTTGTTTTGCAAAAAGATGCTTTGCAAAATACGGATTTTTCTCGCTTAAAACGGTCAGCTTAAGCGAAGAAAAATGTACACACCTTCTTTGTAACGATTTTCCAAGTTTCAGCCGACGAAGGAATGGGTAAATAAAGAAAACTTTTTGAGTTTTGAACTCGAAAACTTTTTCAAATTTGTGCTTGCGTGATTAGCGCGCGCAAAACCAAACAACTTGACGCCACAACCATGTTTACATACTCTCATGCAAACCCTCCTCTCGGCCAATCAGAGCGCGCGTACTATCTTAGTTATTTTATAAATATAAATCAGAGCGTTTGGGTCTAGAATAGGGTATCATTTTTCAGGAACCTGATCAGTTGGTTGAAGATTTTATTTACACTAGGGATTGTGGTATAAGGTTTTGTTTTGGCTAGACTGTGGTAGTGACCTGAGTGGTTTCTGGAAAACAGCTACTCTAGGATAGGGGGATTTGGGGAGTTTACTCTAGTATAGGGTAGCAAAATTCAGCTGAACTAGCTCTGGTATAGGTTAAGGGTTCCAGGGTCCCAGCGGCACATCCCCACCCAGAAATTCCTAAAGTACCCCCCCTCCCTCGGGGTAACTACAAACGCCTTTGCTTTATGAATGTTCATGCGAAGAAAGGAGGGGGGCTTTCGTGAACTTCTTGGAAACCACATCACCCCGCTTTAAAGAATCTAGGACCACTGTCTCAGAGATATTTCAGGATCTTGAAAACCGCAAGCTCAGTTAAATTTTTATTATCCAAGTTGGACCATGTTGAAAATCAAATCCAGATAATAAATTAATTGATATTTCTTGGTTAATTTTACTCTGTTTCTCATCCAATTCTATTACCAAAACATGCCTAAACGGACTAAATAGAGCCTAAAACAAAAACCTTACAAAACAAAACTCACATATCTTTAGCTGAATGTACTCACTGAATAATGCCTCTAACTCCAAGTTCAAAACCGACAAAGTCAAGAAAATGTCAATTAAACCGGTCAGGAAAAACAGGCAATTAAATAATAGTAAAGGAATTTTTATTTGGGTTTTTTACTTCCTATATATTGACCCCCCCTCCGGCGAATTAAGTCGACTCTGGTCCCCCTTTGCCCCCCCCCCCCCCCCCCTCCAGCAGGGGGAGACGGTTGGGGTATTCCCTACAACGGCCTATACCGGGATGCTCCGCCCGAAAGGGGTACTTGTTTCAGGCTTCAGTTATATAAAAAATTCATTCCAAGGGTTTAGACAAGGGATGCAGTCAGTTTCGTAAGTAGCTATTTGAAAGGGTGCCATTTTAAAATGAAGACACAAAACGTGGTATCTTTTGTGCCAAAGAAAGAAACACTTGTGAAGGCAAAACCACAGTGACAAACCAGTGAGGGTCTGCCGTATCTTGATCCAGTAGACCTGGATCACAACAACAAAATTAGTCCGTTGATAACTCCTCATGAACAAACTGGACACGCGGAGCGTGAACCTAAACTGACTGACAAGACTAAGACGATTATTATTACAATACAGTATTATTTTTGTATTCTGAAGGATTTTAGAAGCGAACAATGAGGAACAAATAAACACACTTGCATATACCAAGAACATATCTAGCAACTGTTTATTTCACCGCCTTACATCATCAAGGGTTTGGTAAGCACTTGGTCTGGACTGCGAAGTCCAGAGTTGTTACCGCTCTCTACATTACTATCATCATCTACAACAGGTACAGCAATAACACTAGACTTAGGAGAAATCTCATTGTCTCCTTCAGACTGAATTCGTAACCTTGTTTCGGGAACGAAAGGTTCCCTCTGAAAATCTAAGGGTGGATTATGCTCTACCATTTCTGGTGTGACGATTTCCTTATGGGCACTCATGCCTCTGGCATCATCAGGTATCAAGTGATTAGCACGCACATAGCGACGAGCATTACCGGGAACTCGAACCAGGTAGGTTTCTGGACCCTTCACAGCCACAATTGTACCTGGTATCCATTTCTCCTTCCCTCCCCTGGTGTTTTGTACTCTAACTGGTTGATACAAATCAAAACTTTGCCCCTTGGGGTGCAGCCCATCCCTGTATAATTTTGAAGCTTTATGTTACTTTTCTACATGCCTTTATAAATTGTAAACTGGGTTTCACCAAGGAGAGGTGTGTCCTGAGTTCTCTCTTCAAAAACAGTTGTGTAGGAGTCTTGTCTGTTGTGGTGTGGGGTTTGTTTCTGCAGCAGAAGAGGACATTAGCCGCCCTGTGCTGAACTGACCCCTTCTCAAGACAAGACTGATACATGGCCTTGAAGGTCTGCACATATCTCTCAGCTAAGCCATTAGTGGAGGGATGATATGGGGGACATAAAGTGTGCTTGATGCAATTCACCTTTAAAAATGACTTGAACTCTCCAGCAACAAATTGTGGGCCATTGTCGCTGACTAATTCATGTGGCAATCCATAGCGAGCAAACAAAGCTCTTTAAGCCTCTATGGTAGCATTTGCTGTACTGCCGGTCATAAGAAAGACTTCCATCCATTTAGAGTGGCTGTCAACCGCAAGAAGAAATTGTTGACCCTTCACCTCAGCATAATCGACATGAATTCTTTGCCAAGATTCAGTCGACCCAGGCCACAATAATAAGGGAACTGCCTTAAGGGCATGATGTGCCTTAGTACAAACATGACAGTCTTACTTTGTCCTCTATATCAAGGTCGATACCAGGCCACCACACAAAGGACCTGGCAAGTGCTTTCATACGGCACATCCCTGGATGGCACTCGTGTAACTCTTCCAATAAGTGTTTTTGGAATTTGAATGGTATGTTGGCACGTCTGCCCCATGAGAGACATCCGTTTTCCAAAGAAATCTCGCCTCTACGATTCCAAACTAGTTGGAGCTCTGGACTTGGGTAACTACCAGGCCAACCAGAGGAGGTACATTCATACACTTTTACAAATAGGCTATCTTTTTTGTACCTTCTGCTATCTCTGCTGCAGCGATAGGTAATTCATCTGTCGTGGTTGCAAACACATAGTGTTCATCTGGATCCAAATCATCATCAGCCTGAGATTGTATGAGAAATCGACTGAAGAAATCTGCATTTGCTTTGCCAGCAGAGTCTCTGCATACAATGTCAAAATCACATCCAGACAGGAGAACAGCCCAACGTTGTAAACGAGCTGTAGCCAAAGGAGGAATGCTAGATTTAGGACCAACGATAGGAGTTAGGGGTTGATGGTCAGTTACCAATGTAAATTTCCTGCCATAGAGGTAAAGTTGAAATCTTTTAACACCAAAAACTATGGCTAACCCCTCTTTTTCTATCTGGGCATAATTCTTTTCAGCACTGCTACGTGTGCGAGAGGCAAACTCCACCGGCTGCTCACTGCCATCTTCCATGCGATGACTCAACACAGCTTCAATCCCGTATGGACTGGCATCTACACTCAGAATGAGAATGAACCAAAGACTAAAGCATACCAAAGACTTTTTATACCCCGTTCTAGAATTCGCCCTAAAACTCATACCCCGTTCTAGAAAATCATCCAGAGTACGTTTCCTGTGCATGTGGATACAATGCGGTTAATTATAACGCAAAATCTCTCACCACGCACAGAACCACGCTCGTAAGCTAACGATTTTCCTTCTCCTCCCCCGTCCCTTTCTTTTGAGCCCGTCTCCATCTCCCTCGGGTACATTATAGACTCGATCCAGACTTCCGCGCGCCTGTTTATCCAAGATGGTGGAGTCAACGCGCGGCTCGCGCCACACAGGGTGCAACAAGAGTACAACAGTTTGCTTGTTCACACATTGAACCGTATTTTTAAAAGCAATCTGTCCTTGAATAATTTCAAATGGCTGCTTACAAAACTGGAGCTTTCGTGCGTTCGAAATATTGTACCCCGTTCTAGAAAACGCCTCTGAAATAGATACCCCCTTCTAAAATCACGACCCCGTTGGGCGGCACATACCAGTATAGGTAATGTATGGGAGTACACCCCCTCCGGGGGTAGGGCTTTACACACCGGACGAATATATGACCTTTCCGCTTACAGTGATAACACGTGGCATTTCTGAATTTGCATGATTCCGAACGATGTTGCACACTTCCACATGACTTGCATTTGTCTGCTTTTTCACCACTTTGCTCTTTGCTATGTCCAGAAGTGTTTTTTCTTCCTCTAAAAAAAGAAATATCCTAAACCTTATTGGCCTCACCACCAGCCGACTCTCCCATGTGCTCCTTGTTCGCCTTGCCTGCCATTTCATCTGCAACACACTTGTCATGTGCAACCGCGTAGGTCAAATTTCTTATCGACAGGAGGTTACGTTGAGTTCTGGACATTTTCGAATGTAATCCAGAAACTAGTCTGTCTCTTAGGGCTTTAGATAGAAATTCGCCGAAGCTGCAGGTCGAAGCCAATTTCTTCAGTCTAACGACGAATTCTGATACACTCTCGCTCTGTCCTTGTGACGCTGTCCAGAACTTGTGTCTTCAGCAATAACAATGAGAGCAGGTTCGTAGTGCCCCTGCAAATGCTGCGTCAACCGTATAAACGTCTTTGTATTCGGATTGTCTGGATCGCACAAATTCTTCAACAACTTGTAAGCGTCTGGACCAATAACAGCCAGAAAAAACAGAAAAACATTTACTTTTTGTCATCGTCGATGTCATTCGCCGCAACATATGCTTCAAATCGATCAGCATAATCACTAAATTTCTCGGACTTCTCGTCAAAATGACCTAAATTACCAACGATTACAGCCATGTGTACACTCTGTTTACATTGAGGATCCCATCCTCGTCGCCAATTTTGTATTCTGAAGGATTTTAGAAGCAAGCAATGAGGAACAAATAAACACACGTGCGTATGCCAGGAACATATGTAGCAACTGTTTATTTCACCTTCTTACATCATCTTACATCACGTGACCAATACTACCCAAAATACCACAATTATATTGTTTTTTTTTTCCGAAGCTACAACCAGAAATTGGAAAAGGTAGTGGAACCCAGTGATAGCCTTTGAGCCTGTAGAGTACTAGGTGATTTCCGACCTGTGCACGTAGTGGCTTGAGGTTCCTGTGACATAGCTTAGTGACCATGGCCTTCACAATGTTCAATGTTATGCTTGGAAGGTTTCGCCGGTTCTCTTTGTAGAAAATGCGATATTCTTTACGTAATAGGGCTTCACAGTTTGAATAAGGTAATGTTATACTTGCTGTAGCTTTTTTCTTTTCAGTGTTTTTTTCAAATAATTTGGGTGTTGCGAAAACCATTGTTGTGGGTGTCAATAATTTTTTAATTCTTACACTTGCATCAATCCTACATTGTACAGTGATTGTATTATTCACTATTATTCCACCTGAGAAGAGGCTTTTGTGTTGGGCCTTTTTCTAGTTTTGGGCTCCTTTCGTAACGAAAGCCTGTTCACACCAGAAAGCCTGCTCGAAGGCTTCCTTGGCCAGTCATGGCCTAATACCGACGGAACTTAGCATTGGTTGTATTTAATTTACATGCATGTATAGTCACTGTAATGTTGAGAATAAGCTTATGTCATCGTGATAGCTGCGACAGTTGTTTATGAATTATTTCAGTTATTTTTATGGGCTTGTCTCGTTTTGATGGCGTTCAAATCTGTGCGATGAATTCCTAGCTAAGCCTTTGCTTTTTAGACAACCAAAAAACATACTTTAAGTACATATTTCTTAAGTATTTTTTTTTAAGAAAAAGGAAGAAAATACATTAAGCCTACATGTAAGTCAGTACTGAGTGATTCCTAACAACATACAAATGTAGTAACAGGTAGCCCAGCCTTGGTGTAAGAATAAACATGACAACAGTTTTTATGTTAATGTAAGAGCATAATCATTTATTACATGTAATTCTCTAGATTGCAGGTCTTCAATTAAACGTAGTAAGCCAACAAACCGCTTTTATGTCCTCTGCAAAGAGAATATCATCTGGAAGGCAATTCTTCTATACTTATGAAGATTTTCAATGGCCAAGCTATCATTGCAGTAATAATACAACACAAAATGGGCTTTACTTGAGCAAGGTAATAAACGTTAAAAGTAACCTGAATCCGAGTGCTGTACAAAGCAAAAAAATATCTGAGCTTGGTTTACAAACTCCACTGTTCATGTTTTGCTCATTTGTATATAAATTTGCCCATAGAAGGCTTCATCATACAGTGTATAAATATACAAACTAACTTCAATCAACTGGAGCAATTTTTGCAAGCTGAATATCTGAGGAAATATAGCATCAGTTAAAAACTGCCAGATTGCCAGGCCAGACAGTCTTTGAAAATTTGGAGCTTTGAAGAGAGAATGTCTCTGAAACTACTTAGTATGCTGGGGTCGTAAATTCAACTAAAGTATAGTGTAGTTGAAAATGCTTTGTTGATACAAAACTGACTTTCTTACAAGCTTAAATATCCCAGGCTCAATATACGTTTATCAGCTTCTTATGCCCAATTATTGTGCAAGCATGATGCACATTGACAAAATTTGACCTATTTTGTTACAGCTGTGATGACCAACACTGCGCACTTGGCCTTATGTTACTGAGGCAAAAAATTGTATAAGCAAAGATTTGTCTCAATCTATAGAGAAGTGAGAGTTAACATTGTTTTGTTTACAGAAAGTGGGGATTAAAAGATCATAGCTTGGTCCATTGTGACTTAGAGTGAGATTAATACAGCTAGATACTGGCCAAGTTATTGACAGATCAAGGCTGGGAAATAAAGGAACTATTTATGGCAAAAAAAAAAATATATATATATATATATAAGATAGGCTTAACAATGCCTGCTTGGTTAGCCAATCACAACACAGGATTTGCTTGATTCATATAAAATTATGTACATTGCCTGCTTGGTGATAAAATTCCTGAGTCACAAGAAGCGTAATTTATTGGGTTCTACATACAACTATTATTCTATCCACACATAGTGTTGGAAATAGTCTGTTCCTACCAATACAATTTTGATTATGGAAACGTTATTACTCTGGAAATTGTTTCAAGTTTATCATCTTACATAATTATGATGTACAACATTATTGTCAGACATAATAAGCTTTATGCTTGAAAATGATTATTGAAATACAATTTTAAAAATTCGATATTATCATTATATTTTGCTTAATTTACTTCTGGTTGTTATAAATTTTATTTGTGAATAATGCTGTGTCTTTAGTTTTAATACATGGTTGATTTTCTTTTAAATTTCAGTTTGACAAAGAACTTTCAGAAACATGGAATGCTGCAGCAGATGCTGGATACTTCAAATACAGACTTGATAAAATTGAAGGAAGGATGGCACCTGGGAAATTTTTCTTGTACATCCAGGTAAAATGAGTTTTCAATGATCTTGTCTATTAATTTTTTGAGTGATGATTTTCAAAATCTTTGGAATATTGTGGCCCACATGTATATTATTTTGTTATGGTTCAGTTTTACATTAAGTTCAAGTAGTTTAGCCATTGTCATAAATAACTATGCAAAGAGTAAAACAGCAAACAAAACAAAAACAAAAATTGAAGGGATTGTAAGATATCTACAGTCAACTCTCTTATTTACCAGATATTACATACCTCAGCTCTTTCTTCAATGGTGTTGCAGCGACTATTGTTGGTTAGCTAGTGTCTTTTTAATCTTTTATATTCAGAAGGGTCTTGAAGGATAGTAATTTGCCTTCATGTATAATTATTAGTATGTTGTGTATGGGATTTATAATGTCATAGCAGCCCAGTGCTGGTGTACAAAAAAGTACGAAATATTATTAATATTGCACAAGTCTAAAAAGAGAGAGCTCATTTCCCTGAAAAATGTAGAAATTTCATAGACACAAAAAGGCATCAAATTAAAGCAAACAAGAAGTTATAAATTTTTTCATCAGCTACACGTATCATTATGTTTTCACCGTTTGTTTTGACAGTTGAATGAGCTACGTTTTACTCAGCGAAGGAAACCAGATCCAATGAACAGTGTTAGTCAACCATTCAATCCTGAAAAATTTAACTTCACTAAAGTGCAAAGTAAAGAGGTAAGGTCATAGTTGTCTTTACTAAATTAGTCTGAGTAGCAAGCGTTTCCATGTGGTTTCAGAGCAAAGAAAGACAGAGGAACGGCAAGAAATGGGATTTTTTGGTTTTGGCTGCCCCAAAAATGGAACGAGTGGTCTTTGACTCAAGTTTCTCATTCTTTGCTCTGTGGAACCACATGGAAATACTTGCTATGCAGGCTATTACTCAATCATCTTCCAGGAATAAACTTTTTCTTGTAGGGTAGCTCATCCTTGTACTAAGAATGGAGGCATATAAGTCCTTAAAACAAGTTAACCAAAATGTCTTATTTCCTTTACTGTACCCATAGGTTCTATTTGAGCTTTGTCCAACACATAATACTGCAGCTGTCAGTGCAAATGATGATCACCATCTCATGATAATTAATGTCAGTCCTATGGAATATGGACATTCTCTGTTGGTTCCAAGTGTAAACTCCTGTCTTCCACAGGTACCTGTAAAGTGTCTTTGGCACTTTCAGATTTGATTTTGGCTTTACTGAGAAAAAGTCTTTAACCACCTATCTAGACCAGGTTCAAACCCCGGCATTGGTGCAATATGTTGTTTAAGTTTGTTGTTAGTTCTCTCTTCTTTCATTCAGGAGGTTTTCTCTCCTCAAAAATCAACATGCACTTCCAAATATTTGCAATTCAATTTCGAACACACAGACATATTTAAGCGAGTTCTTAAGAACTCCTAAAAGTAAAAAAAAAAAGAAATGCAAAACTCTCCATGCAATTTTCTACCCTTAATTGAAGTACCAAAACCAAAAACCTTTAGGCATTATTGTCACTTGGGTCTTATCCCGTAATGAACAAAAATGTGGTCAAGCTCTCCCTACCCCCCTCCCCACCCAACTGAACCCTCCTTTTAGTTAATAACCCTGACTGATCTTTCTTGGGAAATCTGGGGACACAGGATTCATTCAACCAACAGCTAAATGCATTAAACATGTTAATATGTTAAGTGCTTCAAGGATAATAAAATTAATTATTATCAGATCATTAGCTTTTTTATTAGAGAGTTTTACCACTTAACTTAGATAATCTCTGGTTTGCATACATGTCAGTGTACAGCTTTGTACATGCTGAATATTAAGGTGGGAAAGGTGGTGGATTCTGTGGAATTACCAGTACCATCTTGTCACTTATTGCTGTATGTTTGTAATAAACTGCTAGGTTCTTACTGAAGAAGCAATATTACTTGGGCTGGAGACATCTATGTTAAGTAGCCACAGGTAAACTAATATAGCAATAACTTATTACGATCATTACATGAAATCAAAACATTGTGAAGTTTGTGAAGATTTCCTTTTAATTCAGATTTGCTTACCAGAAATTGTGGAAGAAAAGCAAAGGACTTAATGACATTCATGTTCCCTTAATGCAGGTGATCCTCTTAACATGCGTTTCACTTTTTTTTTCTGCAGAGGATTCCGTTTGGGTTTTAACAGCCTGTGTGCTTACTGTTCCGTGAATCATTTACATTTCCATGTGTGGTACAATAAACATCCATCTTATCTTGAGACGGTGGTGAGTTCATCAGACAACCTTGCCGCATTTTATCCGGCTTCCGTGCTTTCTTTTTGTGGTACTGTGGAAGTAAACATTTAACATAGGGAAATAATTATGGCGGAGATGTGCTATAATTTATGCCTGTTAGTTTAAGGACCTTTCATTCTTCTTTCCCATGGCATCCCCTGCACGCATTAACATGGCAAAAATTCCAACCTCTGAAATATTTGCTGGCGTTCTGTGAAGAAAAGTGCCCGTGGGTTAAGATATATCTTTTTGAGTGGGAGCACCAGAGAGAATTCTTTGTTTTTGTAATATTGGTGGAGGCTTTTGAACTACATATAGGAGACTAGATTCAACCCACGTTCCGAGATTCTCTCCATTGTCTTCAGGAGACTGGGGATAATAAATTATAAGTAATATCCCTCGACAAAGTGGGCATGCGTGCCTTCCCCTCCACCCCACCCCCGCTTAATTCTCCCCGCTGTTTGTTAGCCTTTTCAGTACGCCTGCATTAATTACGAGGTTTTCTCTCTCTTTGATGAATTGTTGTAGGACGTTTTTCCTGTTTGTGAAGACCTATTTGAAGTTAGAGATTATGCAACGACTATGTTCGTCTTCGAGTTAGGACCTCACACTAATCCTAGTTTACTAGCGAGGTAAGGAGCGAAACGTTGTAATAACTCATTACACTGTTTAACAGCATCCCCTGATCGTATTTTCTGTTAGTTAAGAAAAAGAGGAGGAAATAAAACTTACGTGTATATACAGTTTCAGCAATAGTTTTTACCCTATAGCGGCTACTCCAAAGGGGACTGGAATCTAATCCCCCTACGATTAGAGCAGAAAGTTATTCAGATTTTTGTAATTACCTCAGCTATAATTCTTACGTTTATCTTTTATTACTTTTTTCTTCTTCTTGTTTTAAATTTTTTTATTACTCTATTTTCCATGCGCAACGGAAAGCGTTAAAATAGAAGTTCTATATAATGTCACGCTAAAGTACTGAGGCAAACGCACGTCGCACGCCTGGTTTGGGCTGCTTTTACTGTTGGTGGATAGTGGTATTTTTAACCAGTTATATTAAAAACACTGCTGTTCGTATTTTAAACATTACATAATTGGGTTCAATCTGAGCATAACTGGTTTAAAACCGAGCGTTTGAAGAAAAGTTTTATTTTTAGCCACTTTAGTTTTATTTTTTTCTCTTTGTTATCATCAGTATTTGTAAATATCCCGTAATTCAGCCTACGGCTGCAATGGTGTTTATAATTAAGTATCTATCTATCTACCTGTCAATCAAACGCGAAAGAAATAAAAGTAAAAATTGAAATGCTTGCACAAATATGATGGAATAAAAGCTATTTATAACATACTGTATGTATGATATGCAATTTATTATATACATGTTTAAATCTCAGATATATACATAAGAACCTTCAAGGCCGAGGTGACGAAATGTAAAGTCTCTGAGAGGGCCGATTTCACCGAGCATGTTAGCAAACGTATTAACCTAGCGTTCCACAAAATGACACCCCTGCAAACTTCTAAATTCCTGCCATAATTAGCACAAAACCACGCAACCGTTAGAAAAATGAACGATCTAAGTGACCTCACCGCCGGTTAATCTTGGCTGTCGTTTTGTTCACAGAAAAATAAACCAAGTGTCGTCTTATTTTATACAAAACGAGGTCGCACATACTTGTCTTATTATGCGTGGAGAAGCTTGTACCTCAAAAGCGCTGATAAATGGGTATGTTAACAAGGAAAGTAAGCAACAGTCTGTCCTCAGAGTCTTCCTCTGGCCTCGAAATGCTGTGACTGGTGAGTAGAACAAAGACTTAAAACAATTAGAGCGCTTTTCATTTGAGTGTCGAAAAGTAATTGGACTTTCGAGCATCCGTTTTCCGGGTGGGTAGAAAACGAAGACTTAAGACCTAAGACCTAAGACCCAAAAACGAAGACCCCCGTCAAAATCACTTATAAATACCTAGTTTTTGGGTATTAGGTCTTAGGTCCTCGTTTTCTACCCACCCTCCGTTTTCCTCTGATTTACACTAGAATTAGCACGTATTGATTATGTCTTTCTTTCCGCAGAACCGGAAAACTGTGATTAAATAGTACAGTTTCTCTTAAGTTCTCGTTAAAATTTATTTTTTTTACAAATCACTTTTTCTTTAATTAAGATCTCTTGCTAGCTTATCCGAAACCATCTAGTGCCACAGCAACAATAGTACATACTGTTGCAAACACACTGAAGAACTTAGTATCTTTATGGAACCAGCTACGCAGGCTAACTCTGCTATGTAATTGTATTGACAGGTTCCGAGGTGAAGAGCTCGTATGCGGAATCAGACGAACGACCTATGGCTGTCTGTGAATTAGGTGGCTTTGTAGCAGTTGAAAGTGAGAATCCGCTTTTATAAGTTGCTTTCTTTTCAGCTGAGTGCATGTCATAAGTTTTTCTCCCCACGTAAGGGAATGCAAGACTCAGGATTCCACGTACTGGATTCCGGATGCTAATCGTCAGTGGAATTCTGGATTCCTCAGAGCCCAGGATTCCGGATCTCACAGCAAAAATTTGCTCGATTCCAGATTTACAGTCAGATTTCACAAGCAAAAATTTCCCGCATTCCAGAATCTGGATTCCCTTACGTCGGGCCAAGTTCTGCTTAATGATGACAATTATTTTCTTTTCATTTGTGTGCTTTTTTGTTTTTTTTGCTCTTTCAGCAAGAGAGACATTTAATTCGTTCAGCGAGGAAAAATTTTGTGAATACATGAAACGAGCTACGCTACGTGGAGAAGAGTTTGCCAAGCACAGGGAGGCAATAAGAGAATTACTTAGAAATTAAATTAGCTTGTTGCATTTCTCGGACAAATCTTGTAGTATTGGTGTAAAAGCACTCTTTCCGGTTGTGGTAATTTTTTGGGGAAAGACTTTGAAGTCTGGTCAGCAACAACGATCGAACTTGCTAGTGCATCCGTGTTCATATCAGGGATAACCATCCACTGGGTTTTCTAATCATCACTGTTCAACTTAGGTTATCAGTATTATGCTTTTGTACATTGTGTATGTAGGTCTTATTTAATTAAGTCCATTTTTGAATTGCATTTTTTACTAGTCACTATTAATCAATTGTTAATTAATCAATCAATCAATCAATCAGTTGATTGTTTGCATGCATCCAGAAGTCCAAGGAGAGCCCGTGTTACTACGTTTAAATTTCAACCAGTTCCTTATCCTTTCAACAGAACTACAAACATGCCCTCTTCATTACCATTTGAAATGAAACGTGAAACATTTCGTCTTAAATGAAGTTACCAGTCGCACTGGCCCCCTTGTGCTGATTTCCTCTTCTCTGCCTGTTTCACCACCACAAACGACAACAAGAGACTCTGCTCGCGGGCTACATTCAAAACGTGCTGGTTTGGTGAAGGGAAGTTAGCGATTAATTAACGACATTAATATTGATATGTGTTGGAAATAACAAATTAACCTATAAAGAGGCGTACATCGCAAAGTTGGTTGGACTAAAGTAAAGATAAAGGAAGGAGATAAAATTAGATTGATTTACTTGCATTTTAAATGAGAACTAGAGATTGAAAGTTGGCTTTGGCGACTAGCCAAGCTCATGCAGCTAACTATGGAGTCCATGAAGGTTGATGTCACGTGATTCTCTATGAGTTCTCTTATACACAGCATATTCCTAGTCGTAAAGGTTTGCATTGGAGCGTGAGTGGAAACTTCCAAAATGGATCCTACAGCCTTACTGGGTATAATTTGTTGTTCAGCAATATGAAGAGTCTCCCCGGTCGACAATTTAATCGATAATTTGAAAAAATAGGCCAGAGTGAGAGAAGGGGCCAGTGATGAAAGATGAAGATCTAGAATACCAACAACAACAACAACAACAACAACACTGCTTCATTTACCAAGGAATTTAAATCCTGATTGAGCAGTCCCTAAATATTGAAGCAAGTCCTGAACTAGAAGGTTAAAACGACGAGGAAGTTCCGTTTGACAGCCTGCAACAGACCCGCTACAGTAAGCTTCTCTCAACACTGCTGTCACGTGTAAGAGTGATTAACGCACTTAACTCACAATTAATCCTCTCTGGGGGTTAACGCAAAAACATTTAATCCCGACTTTTCTCTCAAGGGTGCCGGCAAAGTTCTAGAACGTTCTGATTCTATTAATACGTTTTCCATGCGTGCCCAGAGAAGCACTATTTTTACCCTTTCAATGCCAAATGTAGCCAAACGCAAAGTTCGACCAGATTTCCAAATTTCATTTTGTAAAATTTTGAAAAACAAATAGCACCATGTGTAAGTACAGGCAGAGAGGTTCCATTTGAATGGTCACATCATAGGATTTCGTCCACAGACTCAAAAGTTAGAGTCACCTTACAAAACTCCATCAAACACTCTGGCAGTGAAAGGGTTAAAGCTCTCCCCGACCTCCAGGACTTGCCAAGTCAAGACTGCCCAAAATAACATTTAATCTACCTTCTCTTCTTCCGACGACATGATATCTCTATCTCATGAGGTTTTCTTATTTTTAAGTAATATCCCCACGTTTCAGACTTTTTGGCAAACCATTCTGCCTTCAGTTCAAATTTTCCTTTGTGTATGACAACCAAAATCCCGCGTGGTAAGTAAGAGGCGATGCTTCACCTAGGCCACACTTTTCCAAAACTTTAAGGTAGTACTTGTATACTTGCAAGAACATTGTAACGCAACCTAATTTAGAGGAATTTTTACGTGAGCTTTTTGAACAATATCGTATTGAAAATTGTGGCAAACAATACTGAATATGTGTAGCAACTGACAGGTTTTTTTTATTTTATTTTTTTTTATTTTCCAATACTGGTTATTTTTATTGTAATTTGTTTTGTTACTTACCGACATATTTATTTACTTATTTATTCTTTTACTTTCTGCTGTGTATTAATGTTGTTAATTTGTTGTCAATAGTAAAAAAAAAATCTAGGCCACACCCATGAGCGGGCTAAAGCGATCGTTGTGAAAATACTCCTGACTATGGGGCAGGGCAACCCAGCAACCTTCAAAGGTACATGAAAAAAGTAGCAATCAAAGGCTATTCACTTGAGGAAAATGTTGTACTTAAAGAGGCACGCGCATTCACTTCTCTTTTGCGCTCTCTTACGAACTGATAGCAGAACTTTGATTGAACACAGACAGCTCATAGGCGATCTTTTAATGAAGCTGTGTAAGTGTTAAAGTGCTATCCCTTTTAATTAATGAAGCTGGATTCAAGTTGAAAAATCTGCACCATTATAGTAAATTGCTTCAATCTGACGTCTGGTTCTTTTTTGGCTGTTTACTCACATTCCGGCACACGAACGCCTTTGTTATCCAGTAGCGGATCTTCCATAACTAAGGACTAATAAGTACTAATAAGTGGCTCAATTCCGCACAGTTTTAAGCTAAAGCGCCGATGCTGGCAGCGATATAACTTACGAAGTGTTTGACTGGCTAAGCTTTAGATAGATAATCTAGCTTATGACTTCAAAATGATAACGTTAGTAACGAAAATGGAATGGCATTTATCAGGGCCTGTTCCGCAAAAATGCGTAAAAGCTCCCCGTATTATAATCCTGCCTTGATTGCGAACTATTAAAAGAAAGATCTACTTGATAGGTTTCTTTATCTGAGCGTTCACGTAGGTCGAACTCTTTAAAAGGCTTTCTCTTTAGAGAGATATTAGTTGAGCAGAAAAGAACTGAAGCGACGAATGCTTCAACCCCTTTAATCTCTATTATTCAGTCTCGGACACAACTTCAAGGAAAATCTAGCAAATGGGAACAGTTAATTCAATTTAGTTCGAAAGAGCGCGAATTCCATTTCTAGCCTATCGCTGACTACCCCTTGTCCAGCTACTACGTGGTGACTTCCTAGTCAAGATGTTTGATGTCGTGCCGCAAAGTTCCTATCGGCAGATCTACAGAATGTTTTTCGGTTGAAGTTCGTAGATAAAACTGCAAAAATTAATTTTTAGCTAATCACCAGACCGCCGAGAATCTGAGGAGCCAATCAGGCCAAGGATCCGAACCCCGCGCGGGAAAATGTGTGCGGGCATGTTTTTATGTTCTTTATGTACGAGATTTGTAGCACTTTACCCTGTTCCGGGTTATATGTATCTGACCAATCACAACACAGAATAACAAAACCATGGCAACTTCTAAATGACAAATAATACTTTCTACTCAGTATTCTTATGTTCACTTTTCGCTTCCTTGGTGTTCATCCTAGCAAGAAGAGATTCGAGCAGATACCACCATGTCTTCCCAAAACATTCAACCTTGCTACACTAAAACTTGTATGATCAAAAACTGGCATAAAATTGGTTTTCACCCATTTACCGCTTTTATAGAGATGATAAAGTTAGTTTGCTTCTTGCTGCGGTTTCCCAACAAACCCAGTATTTCTCAAACAGAGGGTGCTCTGAAGCACTTTTCGCTGCACAACTGGTGCATGTCCGGCCCTTTTTAGTCTCTCTTTAGCCTGTTCCGGGCTCTCAGATAGAGGGGAAGTCGCGAAAGTGAAAGGCACGAGAAAAGTTGGACTCTCTAAGCCTGGAACAGGCTAGTCTCCCTGGTGTCCGAATACGACGGAAACGGTCTTGTTTGTAAGAATTTGGCCCCATCTTGTGACGTGAAAGGGAATTTGTTTTGAATTTGTTCCCGTCTTCGAATCATAGGTGTTTAGTTATTGGTTATAACGGTTAGTTAACTTTTGACTGTAGAAGCAATAAAAATAGTGCACTTAGAAGAATTCTCTGCTGTTATATATTCTGTTATGCTTTTATAATTTGCAAATACGATTTGTGAGCATTGAAGATTTCTTATCTGAACTGAATTGACCTTTATAATGTAATTTCTGTCCAAATGATTGTTAACTGCCATATCACTGTGTCTTCAGTGTTCTTAAGACCTTTGACTGACTTCACTTGACGCCTGTTTTCACTGGAAATAAGTGGTTCGTCGACGTTGCAACGATACTGTAACATTAACTGTCGACTGTTACTGATAACAGTCTTTATGTTATGTCCTTAGCTATCTCGGACCCTTCAAAGGTCAAATATGAAAAAAAAAAAACTCTGAAAACAACCTGTCAATATCTTACTGTCCCCTTTCAGCAGTTTCAGTCTGGTTCCCTTATCCACACGTTTTTTGTTTTCATCGGTTTTTGCGGTACTTTGAACTGATTGGGTGACGATCCACGGCTACCTACTCCCTGCTGTTCGACAATTACAGCATTCCAGGATCTCATTCAGCTCAATTGCAAAGGACCATCATAGCTGAAAGGATTACGCCACTGTTTATTCCGACACGACCTTGATAATCTTAAGTCTGCTAGGGTGAAATCTCGCCATGAAAGTACTTCGGTGGAAAGCTTTCTTGTTCACCGCTACGGTGATCGTTTTGTGTGGTGGTATTGGTGCTTCAAGCTTAAATGTCTCGACAGAAACCAATTCAACGAGTCATGAGGGCAATACAACAGCAGTAAAGGAGGATCGAGAATTCGTGTTCTGTAAGTTTGTCGGTGTTGTTTTGTTAACGATATTACATGCAGTCGTTTGAGTTAATCTGTTTTTAGCAGATATTACTTTGTTGTCATTGCTTCTGGGTCAGCTTTTCAAAAGGTTGTTCGACTAGTTGGTTGTTGCAGTACTGAGACAAAGATGAAAAGAATCGCCTTAAAAAGATAGTATAGCAAAAATCTCGATTAAAGTATCTTCATCACAAACTGTACAATTACCCTTAAGCGATTCTTAGTGTTTGTCACTAACAACATTTGATGGAAAAAAACCTCTTCTAATCGAGGGGCATAAGGTAGTTTTCTCCCACTTGTAAAGTAGTGTATTCAATAGCACCCTAATAGCAAATATATGTCCAATTGCCTTTCAATATTTACCCATTACCTGTATTTGTAGTTACTTATGAAAGGCTGCTTGAAAAACAACGATAATCAATTAAAGCGTTAAGGTTTTACGGCAAAATCCAAATCTTTCTAGCCTTT